AGCATCATCAGTCGGGTATTTACTCATTATAGGCTTTGCGAAGGGCAAAAAGGGATGAATGTGAGAGAACAAAAAGTAGAGTAAAACGCAGGTACCGTACTGATGTGCGTCATCCATTATGATGCTATTCAGGTACGAAGGGCAGACAAAATATTTGTCCTTCTAGGCTTTGTTTTGGAGAAAAAGTTGCTAAAGGGTGAATGTGCACCCAAAGGTGGTATTGCATATACAGTTTGATTGCTTTCATCGAACTTTATCTATTGGTACAAGTCACTTAGCGTTTGGGCGCAATTTGTTTCCGTTTTCTACAATCAGCTTGACAATACCATCAGATAGTAGTTCACAAAAAGACCGAATCAAATGTTTCAAGGCATATAATAGTATACATGTATATACTACTCTTTCTTGTACTTTTACTTGTACAGACGGTTCAAATCAGATGTAATGTAGTTTGCAGCTTTTCTGCGACTTTTTTATTTATAATATATACCTTTCGTTTTAAACAAAAATAAATCTCAATCTCAAAAATGTACGACTTTTACTATTTACTGTAATTTTAATTACTCAACCGAAGGGTAATACATATTTTTAAATACAAAACAAGAACCATGTCATAGTAAGAGAAAAGATAGAATGTTGAACTTTCAAAGTTCATTAATCACGAATGTTTCCGGTTATGTGATACAGAACAATGCATTACTTATTTGGGCGTAGGACGGATAGATGAGATGGAAGCCACTTTAACAGTTCGTGTAAGTGACAACTTTGTCTACATATTGGACATGTATGTCTAGCATCAAGCCACTCATTAATACATACTTTATGAAAAGTATGTCCACAACTGGTAAACACACTATTTGTATAATACATTGGCTCCTCTTCGCAAATTATACATTCACCAAAATACTGCATATTATCCACTTTTATAATTGTTATTGATCTCATATAAGCCCATATTTCTTCTACTGGCACTTTTATCTGAGTAAAACGTTCGATAGTGCCGCACATTGAAGACAACCAAGCATTATGATCACTTGGTTTCGGGAAATAATAAAAAGCACTTGAATTAGTTACATCACATTTAATAGAATCTAAAAAACGTTTTCGTGTACCTTTGAATATAGAGTCTTTTTCTTGATCATTATAAGATTGAAGGTCACCAAAGATAACATTTTTCACCTTACCGACAAGTTTAACAATGTCCATATCGTTTTTATTTATATCCAAAAACATTTCGGTGTTCATATTGTCATCGTGACAGTGAGTAAAAATAAGTGTACACCAATTTAAACCCTCATCACCAAAAACAGAGATAATTAAATTTAAATACAACCAAATATCAGTAGAAATTCTTCCATACCGAACACATAAATAAATTTTGTTATAGCCGATGATAGCATTATCAATCAATCGTTTTATCAATGTAACTATTTCCTCTTTTGTAAAATTATTATCACCAAAGCCAATAGAATCTGTATATGCATACTTGTTACTGTCATAATAAGTATCAAAACTTTTTGTAACACCACTTGTTGTTGAACCAACTTTCGCCGGTGTATTCAAGGATTCTTTTTTAACATCATCATTGTAAAGAACGTTGATTATTGAAGATTTTCCAACTCCAGTTGGACCAAGGAATAAGAAACGTTTTTTTGCACTCATCCCAAAAAAAGGTATATCGTCAGACAGAAACAAAAAAAATAATGACACATGCTTGAAAGTACATCATATGAAAATCTTTTGTCGTTCGCTTTTACGATTAGAAAAGAAATGAAGAAAAACAAAAAACGTTTCATTTGAGTCGAGTGAAATAAGTCGTCACTTTTTCTTTCCCGTGTTTCTTTCTTAAGAAAGAAACACGGGAAAGAAAAAGTGACGACTTATTTCACTCGACTCAAATGAAACGTTTT